TGACTCGACATTTTCTTTACAGATGAATCCCGCTTCTGCGTTCACCACTACGATGGTCCGATTAGAGTCTGGAGATACCGCGGAGAGAGATTATTTAATTGTTTATTTTGCCTCTCCAAACAGGTCTTGCATCTGGTATTGGATTCCACTCCCATCTCGTACACATTGCTGGTACGATGCCCAGGAAATAATATATATCTGATGTTTGAGAGCCTGTTGTCCTACTTTACCATCAGAGCTTGTCTAAGACCACATTCCAACAGTGACTTTGCATGGCACGCGACTCAAGGTTACTTCTTTGCCTACCTGATTACACTGCGGCCTTGGATTGTCTGTTCTCATCATCCGCTGCCTCACCAGGTCAATTAAGGCAACATGTGAAGGAAGCATGGGTTGCCATACCCTAACAAAATGCCCACGATTATTTTCATGCAATGCTGAGTCGTGTAGCAGTGGTTATTGCCACTCGTAGTGTCAACACTCAGTACTGATATCCTCGTCTTTCTCATCCAGTAGAAGGCTGTATTTTCAATTATTTCACCTTCGTTTTTTGTGTTATTTATCTAACAAATTTAGCTTTGATATCTCTTTTCGCATGTCTTGATGTTGCATTTTGTATGACTACCAGTTTATGTATTTTTTCTATTGGTAGGCAATGTTTTTCAAGAATTATATTCTGGTTGTTTTAATATTTTTCCATGTACTTAAAATTTAGATTAAATTTTTCCTCGGTATATCTAGAAATTTCATCAATCTTAGCATGATAACACTTGAAGTAACATTTTTTTTATTTAGTTATTGCCTCAAGAGTATCTGCCGTAAAAATGTACAGTGAGTCCATAACCAGTTAAATGTAAATAAAAAAAGTTTCAAGAAAAGTCTTGCTAAGAAAGATAAATTCTCACAAAATTCTGTTAAATCTTATAACTTAATTTACAAATAAAATTTTAATTTAGAGAAAATTAAAAATGAGTTGATTTGTTATGCACTGAAGGTGTAAATTATTCTGCTGAGAGCTCAATTCGAATATTAAAAATTAAATGCAAATATAATTAAATATTTATAACTTTAAATGTGTAGTAAATAATATTTTAAAATTATATATTTTACTATAAATAGCTGACATATAAATCTAACGATAAGCGGTTTTCAATTTTTTTTCTTTTCCTTATAACCTCATACTACATGCTTATCTTCTGATAATGACGGGCGGGCTTACTAAAAATTGCAGTGATGAACGCAGAATTTTACTCCCTCTTATATTGTTATATTTTGAGTATTATTTGTACGTTTTATAATGTTTTAGCTTCTCTCTTGGGTCTTTTCTTTTTAATGTAGAATTTAGCAAAACAATATTAATCCTTTAGATTAATCTTATATTGCTTATCTCGTGCTATTTGTTGAATTTTTTCAAAGAAAAGAATGACGAAAATGTACAAAGAGAAAAATGACATCATTGTATTTTTGCACTTGCATCAAACCGTTTTGAAGAAAAAATTAGGAACTTTTGCATTTATTAATATTTAATAATGAAAGAGAAACTTTTTTATAGCATTAAAATTTTTTTCTTAATGTATATGTATTTAGCATATTCATTCAAGAAAACTCTTTGTAAGACCTTAATTTTTTAACACACCTCGAACATTTCACCATGCATTATCTTTAAAGAAACTATTTTTTTTCTTATTAACTTTCTAAAGAAGTGAATTCAAATGCAATTATTTCATAGCAAATGTAGCTATTTATGAATTGTTAAAAAGTTACTTTTAAATAAGTAATTCAATTCATACTTTCAAATAACATTCTTTGATGAAGAATATCCTTTCTCTCTCTAACAATAGCGTTATTTTCTTACACTGCCATAGACATAAATGCGCAGCGGATACAGCATAATTTATGTGGGGTAAAATGGGGAAGGGTCTTAGGGGTAATCTGGATCATATTTGGGGGATGGAAGGGGTAAGCCACACAATTTTCCCTACCGTCTGTTTCATTTTTACGCTTGATAAAACAACATGCATATTAATCTAATTCTTATAAGAAGTGATACTGGACTCCCTCTTCTTAGAATTCGTAAGTTGTTACCACAGAACATCAACAGCGAATAACACTAGCACACGTTTAAATTATCTGAATCGAGATTTTAATCCATTTTTCTTGGATGCAGCTTTCCTGTTTTTATACCTGAATATTAGTATTTCATTGTTATGTTTTAGAAAACAATGGATGCTTTTCACAAAATATTCCATGCAAGGCCTTTGTGTTTTAAAACTGTTCAGCTTTTAAATTCCTAATGCGAGGAATGTATCTAAGTTATTTCAAATTAGGGACTGATTCTATTGTGTAAATGTTTGTAATTTCCATTATTTGGGACAAACTCTTATGCGCATAGCAGCAAATGTGTATAAAATAATTTCTCGTAATTGTTTCCTATGTGTAATTTCTAATGGTAGAGATTTGCGGGATGATAATAACTCTAATGGATTCATGTTGCGAGACTGATTAGTATTCTCTACAACAGAGTAATATCTCTGTGGTTATTCATATAATTGTTTCTAAGAGCTAACATTTTTAATAAAAAGATTTGAGAGTTTTCAAAATTTAACATGCGTTGATATCAATAGAACAAGAAATCTATTTCTTCAAAAATATTCACAAATGTTTAGTTCAAAGGAAAAGCTACTTTACAAAAAAAAAAAAACAACCTTTCTCATTCTATTCCAATTCCCCTGCTTTCATCATAGTTTTATTGACTTATATATATTTCTTTCTTCTATTTAGATACGAAAACTTGAAACCAAATTCTATTAACCCTTGCACAGGAAAATATTAGAGAGTTTGCATTGTTAGCTGCGAGAAAGTTTCAAAGGATTTCAATTCGATAAAGGCTGGTTGCCATCGAGAAATTTGTGGTCGGTATAATTCTTTTCTTTTTTTTTTTTTTTTCAATTATTGCATAGAAAATTAATTATTCTGTTAAAGAGTGGAACTAAAAAAAATTTGTATTTATTATTTTTTCTTCGAAAACATTTTAAAGTAAGAAAGTGTCACATTATATAATAAATTTTCATTTTGACTGTACTACTGATTCTGTATTTATTATATACAGAAAAATAAAAAAAAATATATATTTATATATTTTTGTTTTAATGAGTTTTTCTGTACACACACACGTGCGCGCGCATATATATTTATATATATATATATATAAATAAATTTTTCATTGCAGAACACTAAGGCCAGACTCCGAAACTGACGAAATACTGCCAATAATTGTAAACCACTTTGCCGTTACAAGCACGCTTTTCTGGCATGCTAAAGAACTTTTGAGGCAATGACTTCTGTTACTTCTTTAATTTGTTCTAATTCTTATTTTGTATTTGCCTTGCTATTGGAAATAAAAAAAATATATAAATTTTCATTATTATTTATTATTTTCATTCAAAACAAGAATCAGTTTATAAATAGCAAAATGGGAGATATGATATTTAACACTTTCTTTACAAGCAGAACAAATTTTACACAATGTGGGATGTGGGTAACATTACACACTCCGAGACAAAGATCAAATTATAGCACTACAATTTTCAGCTATACTTTTTTAACAAATAACAGTTTCTGAAACAAATGGTTTTATTCATTATTATACCAAAAGATTTTATTCAAAAAACTGTAATATATTACACTACCAAACGATTTGTAGAAAATATAAAATTAATCCACTAAGCGATTTTATGAACAACTTAAAATAATCTGCCAAATGATTTTCAGAATTGATTGGTCTTTTACGTCGCAGTATAAGTAACACTAGGGCTATTGCCTATGAACCTCGTAATTTTTGTCAAGAGACGAGAACGACACCTGAGCAGATACTTTCATCTCCATACTTCTGCACCATGCCAACAGAAAGACTTCGAGCTTTGACAGATTTAACTTGCTTCATCCCATCTAATCTTTAGTGGCATCAGGTTTCGAACTCATTACTCGACGAAAACAGCCGACTGCTAGTCCGAGATCGTGACCACTAAGCTACTGCGGATACTATTTTGGGAAAAATTTAAAATTAATCTGCCAAACAATATTTTGATGAAAGTTCATCCTATCACAGGAATTTCTTGGAGATTATGTAGTAGGATATCACACACACACAATTAATTTATGGCTGTTTCCAAAAACAATTCGTCCAAAATATTTATTTTAATTACTGCTACCGTTTTAATTATAATTCTATGTTTTTGGAGAAACATATTTTATTTTCGTGTATATACAGTTTACACACAAAATTCCGAATCACATTTTTCTACATATTTTTACAGAATTGATTTTTTTCAGACTAAATTTAGGCAGAGTTTCCGTTATTTGATTCTAAATAAATTTCATTTTAAAAATTTATTTTTGCTTTTTAAATAAAATTTTTTGTTAAAAGATTGAAAATAACACCAGTAAAAACGAGTTTTTTAACAGATAGGTTTTCTTTCAAACTTCACACTCTGCGTTACATAATTTTTTATACCTTAAATTTTAAGTAACATTAGCTTGTCTTGAAGATGGGGATTTGGCGACTTGGCGAGAAACTTGGTGTAAAATTTAATTCTTTAAATAATTAGTTTTAATCAATTCATTTTTATTAATTGCAATTTAATTATCGCATTGCCAACCAAAACAATCATGTTCGGAAAAATTCAGCTCAATTGAGCATTTTAAGATATGAGAAAAAGTTTTTAAGGTTTTTGACCAAGAAAAAGTTACGATGTGAGTTACAGAAAACCCATTAAAAATTAATGAACATCGAAAATTATTGAAGAAACTTTGATCGAAGGTATAATTTTGTTCAAAAGAGATGCTTTTACGAAGACGAGTGAATACCATTCATTCTATTCCAGATGATTAAGAAAAAACTTGCGCAATTTTTTCCGATTTAATTACCAAACAGGTATAGTGTGGATAAATTTATACGAAGTCTGAAGTAAATCAAAAGGTAAAGACAAATTACTTCATATTCATACATAGCCTAATGGTCATGGTCGCGGACTCATGACCGGTGTTATTTCCTTTGAGCCCTGGTTCCACAAGAAACCCGTCGTGTATGGACTGATAAACGTTAAATTTGGTCGAGACTCTAACTGATCCAGAAAGCGTGGTGCGGAAGTATAGAGAAAGAGGTGCCAGCTCAAATCTCGTTCTCGCTTCCAAATCGAGTTTCGAAATTACAAGATTCGTCTCCAATAGCTTTTGTGTTGCTTCCCAGTGTAACGTTAATAAACGATGGTTATTATATTAATATACCATATATTAAGACTTCTGAAAATAAAAATTTTAATTAGCGAAACAAAATAATAATTAGGCTTCTTTTGTTCCGTTAACTGTTGAATTCTTTGATATTTGAATAACACCTTTTGATTTCCCCCCAAATGTATCAAAATTAATAGTTGGGTTTCTAGCATTGTACTTACAAATTTGTTGATAAAGTATAAAATACCATTTCTTTTTAAGAAAGTGTGTAAAAATTTAGATTATGTTTTCAGGTATATACAATATTCCGGATATGGAAATTTGCCAATGATTCAAAGCTCTTCAGAAGTAAGTACAAGACTAAGAAAGAGAGAGAGAAAAGTTTATGTTAGAAATCAATCTTCATTGAGAATTTCTTTTTTTGAATAGTGAGAATAAAGGCAGAATTAATTTCTTGGTTAAATGTACTAATGATTTCGAATTCTGCTTGATAGATCTTGCTGTTAAGAAGATTTAATTACGGTTATATTTTTTAGATCCATAAGATATTTAATAGATTATAGCTAATTTTAATTAGGCTGAAATTCAGAAGAACTGAAACATTTAGGTTTAATTACTAATTTGATTGTGGAAGTAAATCTACATTTTTTTACCGTCTAAAATAGAACATGTTAAGAGCAATATAAATAATCTTATGCTTAGGTATAAAATGGATGTATATATTTTTCCTATCAGGAGCTTAATGCGTACATATTAATACTCTTTAATTTTAATTACATATTAAATAGTTTCAATTTCCCTCTTTTAGAACATTATTTCGTATTTTACAGTATAATGTTTCCTCTTTCTTTCTCGGAACTGATCCAAATTTTTGGTTCATTTATCTCATCTCTATTTCAATTCCTTATATTTTAATTTTAATACCTTTTAAAGTTCAATGAAACCAGTAAATAGTTTAATTTTAAATGATTGTGGCGGCCTTCCTCGAACCACTTGCAATATCCTCACATTACCATGAGGCGGCACGTTAGAACAATCTCTTTCTGCATGAGCGCAGATATGCAGACTACGATTTCGTGCGCATCTGAGATATCGGTATTTATACCCATGCAGCCACCAGAAGAACATAGCAGAGAAGGAAAAGGAGTATTTGTTCTTGATGATTCTTGGTGTTGACCTCCGCCATCTAACTAACCAGAATTCTCTCCTGAACCTGACCGGATTTCCTTCTCTCTGTCGACAGCCGGGGTCTTCTGAGTTTATTCTGAATGAGTAGAGCGATGAATCTCTCACCAGTAGTTTCATTGTTCTAGCAACGCAACTAACCATAGTTCTCTGTGGCTATTTGTAAAATACTCGAATCATACTTGCATTCATATCTATGAGTTTCTCGGCAGTTGTACTCCCACTACAATCATTACTAGCAAGATAAATTTCTGATACAAGCTGTATCTCTTCAGTTGTCCATTAGATAATATATCTAAATATTTGAACTAAATCCATCTTTGATTCATTATATTCGTATGATATTCTTATGCACAATATTGTATTGAATGATAAATAAATGTTAATTTTAAACATTAAATTATCCTTGATCATTTGCAAATACTGATCTAAGTCATTTGAATATGTTTACGCATCTAATAAGCGCAGGTACTTCATTTAACAGCGACCAATTCGATTTAAATTTCGCTAAAACAACAAAGTAATTACTTTTTAGTCTTAAATTGCAAAACAAAAAATAATTAAACAAATTTAAGTAGAAAAAGGCATTTCTAATCCAATTTTTGATTTAAAAAATTATTTTTATACTAAAAGGTATAAAAATAATTTTAAAAGTAAAATAATAAATAATTTATAAGAATTTGGAGTGTAAATACTTCTTTTAATATCATATATAAGTATTTAGCCTTGGTATTTAGGTATCTTAGTTGAGAGCCTTAACCTTTTTTTTTTTTTTTTTAAAGAATTATATACTATTTTACACTTAAAAAATACCTTTATGCCTTTTTGACCATTTTTAAATAAAAGATTGATTAGAAAATGTTTATTTATATTTTTCTTAACTGCATATATTTAATTAATATATTTTTAAAAAAGTGTGAAAACTTCATGTTTTTAATTAATATAATATTTTTCGAAAAAGTATGTAACTCAGCTTTGATTAAAAACTTCATAAAACGCTTGTATTTCTATGCAATATAACATACAAATAGTTTCAAAAGATTTTAATGTTTTTCATATATAATTCGTATACTATTTGAAAAATGCCTCTTTTCAATAATAAGTATCGGACATATTCGCATTATTTCATTGTTTAGTATCTTACTTTTCTTCATATTAGTTTGTGAAAGAATTACTTTTATCTTCAATTTCAACTTTTTAAGAAACTTTAATCGATTTATCTATTCTACTTCTTCTAGTAAACTCACGTTTATTTTCTAAAATCTTTCGATAATTGAAGTAAATTTCATTTCCTAGTTTTATATAGGATGGCGTTCTTCGATGCAGACATGAAAAGTATCTGATGTTTGAAATTACACTACTGCTCAAAGAGGAATAAGTATTACCTTATACGAATTGAGTATAGCCTTTTATTGCTGAGACTGAACATTATAACTAGTTCATCTTATTTCAGTAGCAAATTCAGCCACGGTAGCCGAGTGGTCACTATCACGAGTTCATGGTCAGTGTTGTTTCCATCGGGTTGTGGGTTTGAGTCCTAATACCTCTAAAGATTCTCAGTATAGCGGCCTGATGCATGTTAAATATGTCGAGGATCAAACTCCACCCGTTTGGAGATTTGTAAGCCAACTCAGGCGGCAGCATTGTCACTTGACAGAGGCTCAAAATTTTCGAGTTATGTCACTAGTAGCTGTTCCAGGAGACTGATTTTATTGTTTTAAACCCTTTGGGTGAGGTCGGTTTCCCTGGATGATTGCTAATAGCCCCCGTGTTGCTTCTAAGTTTGACGTTAATAAAAGAATCAATCAATCACAAACAATTCTCTCTCTCTCAATCAATCAATATATTGCATATATATATATAAACTGCTGTTTGTAGAAAATGCAACACCATGAAGGAATCATCAGAATCAAATGAAATTCGCAGCAAATGTCAATTATAGGATATTATGCAAATTAATAAAGTTTCAGAGCCATCGCGCGTGCGCGGCGCGCGCAGCGCCCTCTGAATTGATGCTGAAAGCGTATAAATAAAGTGCTGTAGCGGGACGTTGAAAAAAGTCTATGATTATTTGTTAGTGGCAAACGTTTAGTGAGACCTGAGTATGCCTCCACGACGGAAGAATAAGAAATTCAAGCAACTTACGGAGTTTGAACGAGGGAGGATAATCGGCCTTCGAGAAGGAGGATTTTCCTATCGCGCAATAGCAGCTCGTATGCAGCGGAACAGTTCCACAGTGATGCGAGTTTGGAAGCAGTGGACCGACGAGCACCGAACAACTCGAAAAACAGGCACTGGACGACAGAAGGTGACGTCAGAGCGCGATGATCGACACCTGCTCCGCATGGCGGTGAATGATCGCACAGCTTCCTCCAGGCAGCTGGCAGCACGTTGGTCTACTGCTACAGGTGTACAATTGTCGGCTTCGTCAATTCGTCGTCGTCTGCTGCGCCGTGGATTGCGTGCAAGGGTGCCTTTATACAGGATTCCCCTCACGGCGAATCATCGACGGCTGCGTCGGCAGTGGGCTCTTGAGCACAGAGACAGGCGAGCTGATTGGCACCAAGTTGTCTTTTCAGATGAATCACGCTTCAATTTGTGGACCCATGATGGCCGTGTTCGTGTTAGACGTTATGCCGGTCAACGCTGCCTTCCTGAGTGTATTATTGAACGACATAGTGGTCGAACACCCGGAGTTATGGTCTGGGGTGCGATTTCGTATCATGGACGATCCAATTTGATACGAATTGAGGGTAATCTCAATAGCAACAGGTACGTCCGTGAAGTGCTACAGCCCGAAGTCGTTCCTTTCCTTCAAGGCATCCCTGGAGCTATCTTTCAGCAGGATAATGCACGCCCACATGTTGCGCGGACTGTTCGAGACTTCTGTTCAGCACAACGCATGCAACTTCTTCCTTGGCCTGCTTATTCACCGGATATGTCGCCTATTGAGCACGTGTGGGATATGGTTGGTCGGCGTCTCGCTCGTGATCCGCGTCCTGCAGTTTCCAAAGACGAACTTTGGTTGCGCATACAAGCGATATGGAATTCTCTTCCTCAAGCAGATATTCAACATCTGTTTGACTCCATGCCACGTCGTATAGCAGCACTTATTGCAGCGCATGGTGGCTGCACCAAATACTGATTTCGGACGCTTAATTTGTTTCTTTTGTTTTGAAAATTTCATCATTTATTTGTATCAGTACAAGTCGTTTCTGCATTAAATTTCATTTGATTCTGATGATTCTTTCATGGTGTTGCATTTTCTACAAACAGCAGTATATATATAGCTTTCTGTTAAATTACTCCTGTTAATGGTTATATAATAGCCTTTGTTGTAGTGTTCCATAAAACTGCTCAATCAATCTATCAATACTTTTCTTGTTGATGAATTTCCAGAAGCACATAAGCTTTGCAGCTTTGAATCTTCGAATCTGATAGATTTTTCAGCATTGCTTCGACTTGACCTTTCCCAGAACTACATATTTTATGATATTAACGGGAAAAATTTACATACCGGTTTCAGCAGAAAAAAAAGAGAATTGAAAAATAAATTAGTTTGAGAAATTAAATCAGAGAAAATTAAGTAAAATGTAGAAGCACACCATTGGCGGCTTCGCGAGAGAGGGTGTGTTCTGATTTATGCTCTCAGTCAATGAGGTAGCAGCGTATCA